GGAGGAAAAAGGGCGCGAAGGCGCCATTTTGGTTGAGGGCATGAATCGGGAAGGGTCAGAATGGAGAGAAAAGAAATTAAAAATGAGGAAGAAACCGCAGAATTTGGTAAAATTAGAAGGCGGGAATTAAAAAGAATAAAATTTTAAATCGGCGGTGAAGAATTTTGAGGGCAAAACCGCCGTTATGCATACGCAGTGCGCGATTAAGGGCATGGAGAAGCAACGGGCGCCATTTTGGTTGAGGGCATGACTCGGGGCGGGTCGGAACGGAGGGGGAAAAGCGATAAAAAAATGAGGAGAAAAACGCGGATTTTGTTAAAATCGGAAGGCGGGAATAAAAAAAAATAAACTTTTTAAACGGCGGGGAAGAATTTTGGAGGAGAAACCGCCGTTGTGCATGCGCAGTAAGCGGTTAAGGGCAATGAGAAGCAACGGGCGCCATTTTGGTTAAGGGCAAAGAGGAGTGAGGGGAGGAAAAAGGGCGCGAAGGCAGAACTGAAATCTATGGGGCAGAACAAAATCTATGGGGCACACAAGGAAATGTATGGGGCACAACTCAAATCTATGGGGCAGAACTGAAATCTGTGGGGCAGAAATTGAAATCTATGGGGCAGAACAAAATCTATGGGGCAGAACTCAAATCTATGGGGCAGAAATTAGAGTCTATGGGTCAGAATAAAATCCATGGGGCAGAACTGAAATCTATGGGGCAGAACTGAAATCTATGGGGCAGAACTGAGATCCATGGGGCAGAAAAAATCTATGGGGCTGGGAATGGGAATCCATGGGGCAGAGCCATTGGAATCTATGGGGCAAAATGAAATCCATGGGGCAGAACTGAAAATCTATGGGGCAGAAAAAAATCTATGGGTCAGAACAAAATCTATGGGGCACAGAAGGAAATCTATAGGGCAGAGCCCAATCTATGGGGCACAACTCAATCTATGGGGCAGAAATTGAAATCCATGGGGCACAAATGAGAATCTATGGGTCAGGACCAAAATCTGTGGGGCTGAGAATGGGAATCTATGGGGCAGAACTGAAATCTATGGGGCAGAAATTGAAATCCATGGGGCAGAATAAAATCTATGGGGCACAGAGGAGAAATCTATGGGGCAGAGCTCAGATCTATGGGGCAGAAATGGAAATCAATGGGGCACAGAAGAAAATCTATGGGGCAGAGCCCAGTCTATGGGGTGGAACTGAAATCTATGGGGCAGAAATGGAAATCAATGGGTCAGGACCCAAATCTATGGGGCACAATGGAATCCATGGGGCAGAGAAATCTATGGGTCAGAACAAAATCTATGGGGCAGAATAAAATCTATGGGGCAGAGCCCAATCTATGGGGCAGAAATGGAATCTATGGGGCAGAACCAAAATCTATGGGGCTGGGAATGGGAATCCATGGGGCAGAGCCCAAATCTATGGGGCAAAACTGAAATCTATGGGGCAGAAATGGGAATCTATGGGTCAGGACCCAAATCTATGGGGCAGAATAAAATCTATGGGGAACAAAAAACGCCACACAAAATTGGGGGCGTGGCTTTTATTGGTGGGCGTGGCCTCGCTCAGGGGGCGTGGTCTGGGTCAGTGGGCGTGCCCCCCACCCCCTCCAGGCCCCGCCCCTTTCCCAGGCCCCGCCCCCTCCTCCTCGTCATCGCTGTCGCGATAATCCCAGAGCCGGACGGTGCCGTCCCACTGGGGGCGGGGCCAGAAAGGGGCGGGGCCAAAAGGGGAGGGGTCAGGGAAAAAAAGGGGAGGGGTCAGGGGAAAAGGGGGAGGGGTCAGGGGAAAAATTGGGGAAAAAAATGGGGGAAAAATTGGGGAAAATTGGGGTAAAAATGGAAAGAAAATAGAGAAAAAATTATTAAAAATTGGAAAATAAATTACTGAAAATTAAGAAAATTTTATATAAAATAAAAAGGATAAAAATCCCCCAATATTAATTAAAAAAGCATCGGGAAAGAAACTGAAAAAAATTTCAAATAAAGTACCAAAAACACAACAAAAAAATACAGAAAAAAAACCCAAAAAAATCCCACAAATTTTACTCAAAAATAATCCCAAATAAAAAATAGAAAAATTCCCCCCGAAATTCCCCGAAGTTTCCCAAAAAATTCCCCCAAAATTCTCCCAAAAAATTCCCCCAAAGTCTTCCCAAATTTCCCCAAAAATTACCCCAAAGTCCCCAAAAATTTCCCAAAAAATTCCCCCAAAATTCCCCAAAAAAATGCCAAAAAATCCCGCAAAAATTCAAAATTTCTTCCCCTCCCCCTTTAAAGCCCCTCCCTCTCCCTCTTCAAACCTCGCCCACTTATA